CTGTTGTCTTCTTCTGTCAGCCTGGCTCTGCCTGTGGTGGAGTAGGGGTGAAACCTAGTGCTGATTTAGTGGGCTGCCCCAGCTAAGACCAAAGATCCACCTTGGCTGGTATCACCTCCAGGGGTGACCTGGAATAGGTCAGGGAAAGCATATGAACAAAGGTACAGCACTCTTTCTTCTGAAAACTCATGCAGGTTTGTGGCTCAGGGGCCGTCTGAGGAGGAGGTTGGATCTTTGCATTCAGTAGGATATTTTTCTACCCCCATAAAGCTGATTTTTGAACTCATCTGCAGCATCCCATGGTGACACCTTCAGAAAATGCTAGTTCTTGTTAGTAGCTCTCCAGACATCCCATGGTAGAACCTGATCCATCTTTTCCATCCTTAGTGGGAGGTCTTTTCTCCTTTCATTTTCCAACAACTCTGCAAATGCTTCCATCAGCCCAATTTAAGCCAGAGGTCTTGTTTGGGCTGGACCATGAGCGCAAGCCTGCCCTGGTAGCCCTTCCTTTGCCCAACATCTGCCTCTGGTGCATGTAATATCTCGTCTGTGTTGGCTCTGTTGATGCTTGGTTTAGATCAGATCCGTTACCTCAGCCAGCTCTGCTCATCAGCAGGCTGACAAGCACAAGGTTAGAACAGTTCTCTGTGTTTCTGAGTGGAAGAAACAGGAAGGGAAAAGGTGAGAAAGTAAAAGATAAAATTGCTGGGAAGCAGCAAATCTGTAAAAGCTGCTGATAATGGCAGGAACAAGGCACTTGTCTGGTGCAGGAGAGTGTGTTTTGAGACCAAAAGGCTTTGAAGAACCCACACTAAACCACAAGAAAATCTGGAGAGGCTCAAATATGCCAAGGAAACTAATTTGTGGCTTTGATGCCATGGTACCCATGCCCTGGACTGGTGTCTGTGGGCACAAGACACCTATTCCATGGTGGGATTAGCTCTGCAGTGCAGCACAGAGCCATCTCTGGGGTCTGCCTTGGGTGATGTGTTTGCAAATACACCAAACAGCAGCTAGCAGTGAGTGGTTTGTGCTACACCTCCTTGCTGGTTACTCCTGCTGAGTAAATGTAAGCTTAATTCACATCCCATCATTACCTGGAAATACTTTACAACAGCCAGAAGCATCTCTTGTGGTTAACACCTTGTTACTTTGCAAACATGATGTGTTCCTGCTCCAGAATCAACGAGAATGGAAAAGACCTTCAAGATCATCAAATTTGTGGGAGATGGTGATTTTGGGCTTAGTTTGGCTAATTTAGCTCAGTTTTGGGCTTAAATAGAAAGAAGAAAGTGGCTCTCTGCTTCAGCAGTGATGAGCCAGGATTCATTGTAAAAGTTGGGTTGTAAAGGTGTAGTGGTCGTGGTCACAACTTCTGATGTGACACAGCTCACAAGTGGGTAGATCGTGACCACAGAGTTTCCAGGACTCTACAATACACAAAGATGTGCAAGTCTACACTTCTGAGACCTTCTTTATTACAAATTACTAGAAAACTACTATTAGTAGTACGCATATTTATATATAAATATATAAATATATGCCCCAAGTCACTACAGAATTGCCACTAGGAAAGCAGGGAGATATGTATTACAAGAGTAAAGCAAATCTGTGTATGTTCCAAGTCTAGGAGGTCTCATACAGGGAAGCTCTTGCAGAGAAGCTCATTTTGGGTAGATAGTGAGCTACTTTTTATACCTTTCTGGTGTAAATACATCAGTGGGTGCAGGACATCAATTCCCAGGATAGTTATCTCCAGCTTCTGCTTCCCTGGAAGGTCAGTTCATGGTCTCAATTTCTTTGTCCTTCTGGCTATACCCATCAAGGAGGTTTTGGCTGAGCTTCTCAAGGATGTCTCAGAGCTCCTGCTTCAAGAAATGTCCTTTGTGAGTTTACCACGTTGCCTTTGGGGCTGCTCCATCAGCAGCCTGTAGCTAGAAGTTTGCAGGTAATATCTGCTCAAGCATGTGGTACCATGGGTTTCATAACTTAGAGTTAAAAGGGAGAGTTCCTATAATGGTTCCTGTCTGCTAGAGATGATAAGAAAGGAAAAACTAGAGTGAGAGCAGCAAAATGAGAGATTAGAAATGGAAGAGAGAAAATGGACTTCAGCAGAGCCAGAGAAATTGGGAGGATGATTCAATGATCTTATGGAGTCTCAGCTGGCAGTATGTGAACTGTTGGTATGGAATGGGATGTGGTGGTACCAGAAGTGATGCTGCCAGTGATGCCTGCTCTTAGGACTCCATACTAAAGCCAGGAAAATGGGGGAAATCCTGCATGAAGAGCAGCAGGATGGGGAAGGGACCATGTAGGAGCAGCAGTGTCGAGGACAGATTGAAAGCCCCATGGGTGACCAGTGGCAGTGTTTAATATGCACTGACCACCCTGGGTTGCAGGGTTTTGGAGATGTGACAGCATTCATTGAAACTTTAAGGTAAATCTAAAAGCTGGGAAGAAAAGTATCTCTCTTCCCTCTACAAGTGGTTCAAAAGCTGTGGGGTTTCCTCCTGGCCTGACTTTAAAAGTCTTTGCATGGTGAGGCCATCCAGAGGTGACATGAAAATGAGCCAAAAGAGGGTCCTGGGTTTGGGAAGTACATGTCTGTTGGCCTCAGCTGGCCTTTCTGATGGGCATTCCTTGAATGGAAAAGGGCAGGAAAGATGTGCAACTCCCATGAAGCATATGGGCTGTGTATGTCTGCTGGCTTCACCCAGTGCTTTGCAGAGCACGGAACAGGCCATGTTGAGATGTTTGCAGGTGGAATCAGGGAGAAAAGTCCAAAGGAGTTGGCTTTAAGCCTGGAAGGAGGAGGAAGGAGTAAGTTAGCAGCTTTCCAAGGAGCACAGGGCTTTTGGAGGATGATGTCCACACAGCCACAGCACAAGGGGAAGATGAGCCTTATCGTAGAATCATGGAATGCCAGGTTGGAAGGGACCTCAAGGATCATCTGGTCCAACCTTTCTTGGGAAAGCATGACCTAGACTACATGTCCCAGCAGCACCCAGTGAACAGTGTCCAGCACTGGGAACTTAGTTGGGGATCCACCACTTCCCTGGGGAGATTATCCCAATGGCTGATTGTTCTCATGGTGGAAAATTCTCCTCTTGTGTCCAGTTGGAATTCCCTAGGAATAACTTGTGCCCATCACCCCTCATCTTTTCCATGTGATTCCTTGTCAAAAGGGAGTCTTCCATCTTCTTTGTAGCCACCTTTAACTACTAGAGCATGGGGATAAAGGTCTCCCCTGAGCCTCCTTCTCTCCAGGCTGAAGAGTCCCACCTCTCTCTCAGCCTTTCCTCATACTTTCAGTATTGGCAAATGATGTTAATAGCTGCAAAGGTGACTGTGTGCTCCCTTGCTATCAGCGTTTATCTCATGTATTTCTCTATTACTGCAGCAACTTTGATGGGTTTTTTCCCCATTTGGGCTTTCATTTGTACACTGCAGCTGAGCTTGCAGGGAGGAGCAAATGGTTGAGTTTTCACATGCAAAAATTGCTGGTTCTGTTGCATTTCCAAGAGCTTCCAGGCTTTCACCCCTGAAAAATAGTGAATATCCGATGCTTTTGGTGATTTAACACCTCATATCCTCAATATGTGCTCTGTGCCCATTGAGGTTTAACTTCATGATCTCTCTTTATCATCTTGGTGTCTCACATATTCAGTGTGGAAACACACAACTGGCTCCCAGCTCACACATTTAGACGTGGCTTTTCTCGTGTTCCAAGACCCCAAATTTCAGGATGCAGAGCTGTGAGATGCTGTCAGGAGGAGCAGAACATCTCACCCTGAAAAGTGGGATGGTTTGGAGCAGTAGCTGTGAAATTAAATAGCTCCCATTGCAGTCCTGTGCTTTGGGGACATGAGCAGTCAGAGCTGGGCTTGTTTAAGCTGGTGGAGAAGATAGAATCATAGAATCCCAGATTGGTCTGTGTTGGAAGGGACCATAAAGCTCCTCCAGTTCCAACTCCTGGGGCCTTCCACTAGAGCAGCTTGCTCCAAGCCCCTGTGTCCAACCTGCCCTTGAACACTGCCAGGGATGGGGCAGCCACAGCTTCTCTGGGCACCCTGTGCCAGCGTCTCAGCACCCTCACAGGGAAGAGCTTCTGCCTAAGAGCTCATCTCAGTCTCCCCTCTGGCAGGTTAAAGCCATTCCCCTTGGCTTGTCATTGTTCATGGGCCAGAAGAAATAAACCTTCTCAATGTGTTCATATTGCAAACACAGCTTGAGACTTGGAATCTCATAGCTCATGAATAGCAATAAAGGCTTTTAAATGTGCAGCAGGGGCTGAGCCCAGGATTTCCTGTGTTTCTAAGTGGCTACTTCATTTACTATTTGGATTTTAACATCTGAATGGCTTTTTCCTTTGTTTCTCCATCCACATTTCATTTGTCAACTGCTTTGGGACCTCTTCTTGGTGAGATGCTGTTGGGAGTGGTTTTACTGGGATGTTTGGATGTTTGGAGAGAGTTTGGGCTTTCAGAATGCTCTGCCTGTGGAGGCTTTGAGGGAAGGTTTGTTCCTGTGGCATTGAAAACCACATTCACTCAAGACCTGAACCTCTTTAGAGTCAAACAGATAACCCCAAGAAACTGAGTGTGCGCTGAGATTTTAGACATCAACTCTCACATGAAAAGAGCACACAATGAATCTAAGTAACTTTAACACAAGAGAAACCCCTGTTCTGTTCAGCTTTACCACCAGGCTTTGCTTGTGGCAGTTTCTACTGATTTCTTGGGTTTTTTTTTTGTGTTGCAAAGGGCTTATTGGCAAACTGGGAGCTGGAATTCCTCCTGCTGAAAGGTAGTTTAACCTGCAGACAAAAACCTGGGGCTTGCATGGCTGGAGGGGAGACAGATCTGCTCAGTGGAGCTCTGGGCTTGTTAAGTGAGGTCTGAGCACTGTGAGTCACTCTCAGCTGCCTCTGCTGAGCCTCACACTGCTCTAGGGATGCCCAGAGTTAATATTTGTACCTGCGTTTTGCTGCTTTACTCCAGGTTGGAATCCGGAGTCGGAAGAGTCGAGTTCCCTATTGCAGAAAGCAGTTTCGGTGCTGCAGAGCTCCTACTTGGACTCCACATCTCAGGATGGGTTTCTCTACAGCCAAGCAATCCTGGTGGAAAATGATGTTTTCCTAAGGGAGGTAAGAACTGGGGAGTAAGGAGGGTGGTTCTTTGGGAGATGCAGTGCCTGGAGATGCTGGTTTATTGGAAGGTATGTCTTTTGCAGCATGGGGCTGACCTGGTGCCTCACAGAGCTGCATCTCCAGTTCCTGGCTGAAGGGAGCCTTTTCTTTCCTTTCTTTCACTTCCTTCCCAGTCTGATCAGCAGCCAAAGACCCATTGAGCCAGGGTAGTCAGACATTCAGCAGCACTTCTGGAGAAGGCCTTCAGGGCAGGCTGAAGTCCTGGTTTGATTCCTGGCTGGAGGGCTTTGACTTTATTGTTATGCTGATTGACACTGAGGCAGATTTCCTGGTGCTGTTTCTTTTGTCTGCCATTACCCCTGTGCAGGCACCAGTTTTAACCCCATTTCTCTTTCTCCAGCTGACTGGATTGTGTAGAGAATCACTTCTAAAATGCTCTCGTCCTGCTGTCATAGAATCATAGCATCACCGACTGGTTTGTGTTGGAAGGGACTTTAAAGCTCATTCAGTTCCAACCCCCTGCCACGGGCAGGGACACCTTCCACTAGAGCAGGTTGCTCCAAGCCCCTGTGTCTAACCTGGCCTTGAACACTGCCAGGGATGGGGCACTAGTGTGGAAGACAGGCTGTGTTCCCTGGGGAGACCACACCGCTTGTTGTCATGACTTAAATACAGCAAAGACATTCTGGCTGCCTAAATCTGGGATTATCACTGTGGTGCTGGATAAAAAACTGGGAAAACAGTATCAAGTAATTTGTTGATTTGCCTGAGTTCTAAAGCCAAAGCTGTGATGAGTTTGTTGTTTTCTCATCTTCTAACCCCACCTAAAAATGTTCTTGTAGTTCTACAACTTCTGTTAAAGCCCCAGATCCTCATGAACTCACACTCAGCTCTGTTGCTCCCATGGTGTTCTCCACTGTTTGCCCAGGGAACATGCTCTGCTTTCATTATCAGACAAAAGAAATCAGAGCAATGTGTTATTTGGCTGTAGCCAAACTCTCTGAGCTGTAGTCTCATGATAGTCTCTAGTCAAATATTCTAGGCTTTCTTGATGAGCAGAGGGAGAAATGTCAACAAGCATCTCCCCTTCTGGAGGCATCTTCTCCATGGTTGAGATGATTTTGTCTTCTGATGGCTTTAGCTGGCTGCTAAATGTGATGCCCTACAAGCCCACATGCTGCTCAGTGAAACCAGCTCCCCAGTAGCCAACTGGACAAGAGGGACAAAGTGGATTAAGGCTGGACTTCCTGGGGATGAGCGCAGTGTGACATCACAGGGCTGGATGTGCCTGCTGTCCCATGGAGGACATTGAACGTGTTCTGCTGGGGACAGAGACAGGGACAGATGGACTGACTGCACATGAATTGGGGTCTTGGTGGTGGGAGACTGGATGTACTGGAGGATGCTTTGGGGAGGGAATGCTGTGTGGGCACATGGCTGGTGGCAGCTGCTCCATAGTGACCATTACTGGAGGTGCATGGGTCACACTGTGCTCACACCAAGAACTCGTGTCACTTGGCTTTGGTATGAATGGACTAGAACAAAGTGGTGTTGTGTCTTCTGCAGCTCAAAGCTTTTGCCCAAGCAAAGGAAGCTGCTGGGTACAGCCAGGAGGAGCTGGAGGAGACCTTTGCCTTTCTCCTGTTTGATAATGAAGCAGAGGTAACCTGAATATTTATTCAGCTTAAGTTTGATGCAAAGTGCCTGCATGTATGCTGTGTCTCACCAAAGCCCAGCAGATGTGTTGACTGAAGTGTCCTGCCTCTCTGTACCCTCTTCACCAGTGCAATTGCTACAGTATAAATAGTCCAGAGCAAGTTCTGAAAGCAGCTTCTGGAAGGTTTTAGTGCTGGATCTGATTTCACATCTCTCCATTCAACTACTGAATGCTTCCAGGGCTGGGGCAGCCACAGCTTCTCTGGGCACCCTGTGCCAGCGCCTCAGCACCCTCACAGGGAAGAGCTTCTGCCTAAGAGCTCATCTCAGTCTCCCCTCTGGCAGCTTAAAGCCATTCCCTTTGGCCTGTCCCTACAGGCCCTTGTCCAAAGCCCCTCTCCAGCTTTCCTGCAGCCCCTTTAGGCACTGGAGCTGCTCTAAGGTCTCCCTTTAAGGAGCCTTCTCTTCTCCAGCTCTCAGCCTTTCAGCCTTTTGCTGTTTGAAGTTTAGCCCAGTTTGTGCCTGAGCTCCTTGTACAGCCCATGGGAAAGAGGGAGCTCTCTAGAGGACCTCATGTAATGCAGGGATCTCAAAGGCTTGGGCCAAATCGCTCTCTGGATGTCCCTGTCCCTGTTGTTCAGAGGAGAAGCCTTGTGGGCTGGTCTAAGCTAGCCACTTGCTAGTGTCTAGCCTAAGCTAGTGTCTAGTCTAAGCTAGACACTTCTAGGAGGCTGGAGTTAGGTGTAATGAGTGCCCCATGTTGCTTATAAAGGGACTGACAGCAGCTTCCCTGGTTTGCTTTTAGTTCTTGCCCATAATGAGTTCAAACAGCTCCTTTTGTCCTTCTGTGGTCAATATATATTTGGACTTTGCACGCTTTGAATCTGCTTTTTTCCCAGATTTCTCTAAGCTTTTGCATCCATGGAGGTTTTCTGTAACAACACCTGATAAATAGAAGCATTTAGTAGCTGAAACAACACATTTTCTTCCTGTTCATTCTACCTATGGACATTGGGTTTAATTTCCTTTCTACCACAGATGTTTTGGGGCTGTAGTGATCTGTGATTGACTTGCAGCATCTTTGCCCCTTGCATGTATTTTGCCAACTGTTGTGCTGCAGATTTCAACAGCCGTGTCCCTTAGCTTTGGAAATAGATGGTAAAAGAGGCTGTTTCTTCTTTTGAAGGCAAAAGAAGTGTGTCAGACAGGCCTGCGTGTGAACAGCAGCTCCATTTCCATACTTGGTGACCCAGCCAAAGGTAAGATTTCCCTGTACAGAACCAAGAGACATGTTCCCTCTTCTGGGGGATGTTGACTCCTTTAAAACCAAAATCAAAAGCCCAGATAAACTCCTTGTCCTGCCTTGTATTTACTGCAAACCCCCATGGAATATCCTTTGTTTCTTACATGAGAAACTGCATTTGTTCAGATCATTCAAGCAGCAGTATGTTCCTTCTGCCCCTTCAACAAGTTGAGGATAGGATCATCCCCAGGGAACCCCCTCTCCATTTCAGACTTTTTCTCCCTTGTTAATACCGACCCTTGTCACCAGAGTGGCTTTTTGGCAGCTTTCTCCACTGCTTTGCTCTTTAGAGTCCATTCTCTGAGCTTCTGCCAATAGTCCTGTTAGTAAGCAGAGCAGCATGTGATATGTCAAAGCCCTTCTCAGTGTGTGCTTATTCCTTGCTCAGAGATGCAGAAACTCAAGGTGTGCAGCGCAGGATGTGCTGCTCAAAGAATTCCTTCAGCCAGAAGCAGAACGTCTCCCAGTGCTCATCCTGCAAGTGTCTGCAGGCTAAGACACCTAATCATTGAACAGTCAATGGCAGGGCTTGCAAAACCAAGCAGGAGCTGGTTATTTATCTGCTATCTTATTCCTGATGGACTGGGATGCATATTATGGTGTGTCTCTTTGTAGCTTCCGTTTCCACCCATGGACTTCTCCACAAAACAGTAGTGAAGAGCCAACACCCTACCCTGATATATACATATATGAGCATAGGGAAGGGATGGGAATAAGCCATGTCAGAATAGGCTTGTCACAGGGTAGAAGGTTCCCATTGGCCTTTGAGATGCTGAAGGCCATAAAGAGCCAAGAAAGGGACCTGGGAGGGTCTGTGCCATGCTATGGGCCTGCTCTTGTGCCTTTGTAGTGTGTGTTCCTCATGTGTAAACATCCATGTTGCCCTTGCATGACTCCAAGTTGAGCAGGATACCTGCTCCACTTGCTGTCAGACCCTGTAAGCCCTTCACTAAACCTTGCTATAAGAGACAAGCCCGCATTTGATGTGTTCTCATGTAGTGTGGAAACTGCTCAGAAACACATCTGAGCATGTGTTTCTGAGCACTTGATTTACCTGATCTTGCATTGCTTTGTCTTCACAGGGGTTTATATATCCAAGCATGCAGACTGTCTCCATCCAAGACCCTGGTATCATGGAAAATCAGGCTATATTGTCATTTGTAAGCTGATTAAGGTAAGTGAAAGTCTGTCTTTATATCTGGAATGGTTTTCAGAAGCTGCTCTACAATGCAAGTGGTTTTCAAGGAGCCTATGGCTGTTGTGGGGTGTAAAATCAGCTCTGTTGAGAGCTTGTTGGGATGTGTCAGGCTGGAAAGCAAGAGATTCAACTGGGCTTGACTGGTGGCCTGAAGAGCAGCAAAGGACCTTCCAAATTCCACTGCTGAGATCAGAAATTCCCCATAGGATCATCTTTTTCCCTGGATTCTGATGCATTTTGGAGGTTTGGGAGAGCCGTAAAGTGGCTCTGATCACAGCCCCATTCTATTCCTCCGTGGGGCTGATGTGTGGCCTTTTTCTTCTCTCCCCACTGGCTCCTGCTCCCTATAGGGAGCACCAAACCCGCACTGCTCCCATTTGCCCTCCTGAGCAGTGCAGGTTTATCTGCCATGCCAAACATGGTCTACTCAGGCCCTCATGTTTGAAGGACATCAGCACACTGGTGGGGAGTGTGGGGCTGTCAGCAACAGTCTTGGGGGGGGGGGGGAAGAGGATTTAGGGGTCTTTAAAAGACGTTTCTGTGAATAATTATATGTATTCCTCTTTTTCTGGGTAAATTCTGTGGTACAGGGGAAGGTGAAGGTGATCTCTGAGAATTACACAACCAGCTATACCTGCCCATCTCCCGGCTATGACTGCCACGTTGGCATGAGCAGAAGCAACCTACCATCAAAGACCAGTCACTGCCTGGCCTTTGAGCAGAGCCAGGTATGAGTTTGCAACAGGACTGTGCAGTCACCTCACTTGTGGGCTGCAGGGGGACACGGTATTGTCCTTCCTCACCTTGTTCTTCTCATCCATGTTTCCCTTCTAACCCCAGTACTACGTGTATGAAGTGTCTGGTGGCAGCACTGCAGAGCGGCCCAGGCAGATCTGCCCCTACATCATCATCACCTGCCAGTACAGGGAGCCGAAGGAAATGCCTGTCTTGGCCATAGAGAGCCTGTAAGCAGCTTGTTCCAAAGCACCCAGTTGCTTTTGTGGGCTGGTTTTTCCTTTGCCCATTGCTAAATGTTCTTCTTTCTCTCTTTTTTTCTCCAGACCTGAGCTTAACGGCAAAGGTAAGAGCAACTGGGGGTTGGGTTTGGCTTATAAACGTACCTTTATCTGTTCCTTTCCTTCCTGGTTTCTCTGAGCCCTTCTCCCTTTTCCCTGTAGCATTGTATTGTCCCTGGAGGGGGCAGCTCTCCATCCGGGGCCAACGTCTTTGCAGCATCGCCCTGAGGACCCCACGCAGCTCCAAGATCCCAGCCCAGCTGTAAGTTGCACTTTTCTGTCTGTGCAATATTGAGTGTGCAGCATTACACCTTTGGGTGTGTGTACCAGTAAAAACCAGCTTTGTCTCTCCTTTCCCATCGCTTCATTGATCAGCATCTTCTTGGAGCTGTACCAACATTATTGGAGCAATCATCAGTGTCAGGAAAGTGATGTTGGGCAGTGTCACAGCAACAGCTGGATGAGGACATGAGATCAGGCCCCAAACTGCAGCTGGAAACAGCTGTATTCTGTCATTTTATTTTTCTGTTAACTGCTTTGGGATGTTTATTCCAAATCAATTATTGCTGCTTGGGATTTTTCTCACTGTGAGAAGTGAGCTTCCTGGTGGTGGATGTACAATCAGCCAGATGTGTTTACAGATCAGAATGATAGAAATAGTGTTGAGTCACAGAGTCACAGAGTGGTTTGTGTTGGAAGGGACCTAAAAGCTCATCCAGTTCCAACCCCTGCCATGAGCAGGGACACCTTCCACTAGAGCAGCTTGCTCCAAGCTGTGTTCATCCTGGCCTTGAACACTGCCAGGGATGGGGCAGCCACAGCTTCTCTGGGCACCCTGTGCCAGCGCCTCAGCACCCTCATAGGGAAAAGCTTCTGCCTAAGAGCTCATCTCAGTCTCCCCTCTGCCAGGTTAAAGCCATTCTCCCTTGTCCTATCACCTACTTGGAGTAACCAGCATCCAAATCCAAGAGATATTTACAATCTTCAGTAGTCGGAAGCCAAGCAGCATAAACTTGAAACAGCCAGTGACAGCCAGTAACACAGCCACCAGTATCAGTGTTTGGAGGTGTTCACAAACACCTCCAGCCTTCTCCAGAGCTCCTCTCTCTGGTTTCACAGTGACAGGACAACCAGGACTCTGCTATGCTTAATTCCAAGAGCCTTTTCTGCTTTCATTCTCACCATCTGCTGCTTTATCGCCACAGGCCTCCCAGCCTGGACATTAACCATGTCATGGATTTGTCTGACTTGAAGAAAAAGCTACCAGAGGCTGCCTTTGAGAAAAGAAATTACACTGGGAATGAAGGTGAGTGCAAAACCTGCCAGCACAGTGAGTAACCTGCTTGTGCTGTGCCATAGGAATTGCTGGGGGGATCAGAGCTCCACGTCATGTTGGGTCCTGTCTTCAAGTGTGACTAATTGCAGATAAGTGAGGAGAAAGGCAAAGGCAGCACAGGAATGTCTTCATGCCTCACATGGTCTCCTGGTGTGATATAATCCTCTTCCCAAAGCAGCTCTTTCATCTTTGGCAGGACAAGGTGGGAGACCCTGTTTAGAGACCTGGGCTCCCATCCTGCAAGATACCAAATAGGATGTAACTGAGAGCAAATGCAGGGAGACAAACCTTCTGACCTGATCTTCCTACATGTCTCTCCGTCACACTCCACCTCTTGGGGAGGTTGTACATGGAGAGCTCTTGCTGTGATTTGCAAAAGCTCCAGGTATATTTCCATGTCATCTTGGACTTGATGAAGTCCATGGTTGGACTTGATGAGCTTAAAGGTCTTTTCCGACCTTGCTGATTCTATGATTCTGTCTTGCACCAAAGTAAGTGTGGGTTGCTGCAGTATTGCCTCCTGCCAGCTCTGCTGAGCCAGGTGGAGGCACTGCTATTTTGGGGGTTAGCATTCAGCTGACAGTGCAGATGGACACTGGATAGTGCTGGGAAGAGGCAGTAGACGTGGGGGGAGACCACAGCAACACTTGCTAAAGGTGCCCTGGAGCCACAATCTTAAGACCCACTGGTGAAAGAGAGGAAATACTTGAACAGAAGAATCCTGTTGTGAAATTCAGAGGGGTCCGGTGGGTCCAGATCACACCTTTGTTAACATCCCTTGAGGATCAGAGTCTGAAAGAAGGATGCTTCAAAGCAGGGGAGAATAAAGCACGTTAGAATGAGGTATTTCCCTCTGAAAGGTTCCCTATCTCTGTTGAAGCACACAGCACTGGTTAAATAGAAATGAGAGAAAAGATAGGAACGATCATGAAGCATGGGCTGAAGAGGAAACAGCCTGTGCTGTGACTGCATATACCAGCTTAGGAAGTCTTGCTAAACCCCAGTGCTTCCACCAGTTGCACACGCATCTTCCTGGTGTAGGAGCACTTGTTCAGAAACCATACAAGAGGCACTACTTCAACATCCAATTCTCTCTTCTTTTGTCTGCAGTTTGCTTTCAGGGTGTTTATTTCAGCCTGTATGAAGTAGAAATATCAAATAAGGAGCAATATAAAATGGATCATTTAATAGAAAATCTGAAGGAAAAGGACTTGGTAAGTGTTTTATACCATGGGCATTCTGGGGGGAAAGTGGCCTTTTCAATCAGCTCTTGCTATATGTGGTAACATTATCCACAGATTCTGAACTGATGCAAAATGGAATGAATTTCCCTGCTTGAAGTATTAGTTTCCTGCTTTGTTATTCTCATAGTTTAGTCTTTTCTGCATATAAAGTGTTGACTGACAGCTGAGCTGCTTGCCCTCAGCTTAATGCCCACAGTTACGCTGCTGAATCCCTGGGGGCTTCCAGGATCTCTGAAGATGTTAGAGTTATCCATTTTTAATGGGGAATTTCCCTTGTGAGGTATGATATGATAAGGCTTTTTTTCCAGCACGTTCCCAGTGTGATTGTCACTTCTCCTGATGAATCCAAGGAATAAACCTCACCCCTGTGGAGCACAACACCTGCATCTCTGCTGGGAGTTGGGGATGGGTTGGGTTTGGCTTTGCTGCTGTTGGTTGCTCTCTCTCTCATCTGATGGCTTCCTGTAGATTCGGAGTTGTAAATCCTGGCTGCTGGCCACATCCTCCCCTCACTGCAAGCTGGCAGCAGCCCATCAACTGCCTGGAAGAGCTGTTGCTGTGCTGCACTGCTGAAGAGCTGCCCACTGATGTGGAGCTCCGCTCACGTAACGTACCAGAGCAAGTGATGGTTGTGCATCCCTGTAAGAAAAGCACTATTGCTCACTAAAGTATTAATTAAAGACTTTTATTGGTAACAACATGGGAAGGAAAACAGAAGATGGCAAAGACAATCTTAATGTCCCTTCATGTGCAGGTAACACTGAACTGTGCAGCATCAGTTGGACGTCCGGTTGGGGCACAGGTCAATGCCATAGCTCATCTTGAGGTTCCCAGCATCTGAAGGGGCATGAGCTTATCTATGCTATCCCTTTTTTCATCTGTGCTCACCAATAAAAAACACTTTAATCAGTACACAGTCCAAGTGCCTTTCTTACAGGGATCTGTGCCAACCATATGCTCTGGTGCATTACTCCATGTTTGCAGCCACTGAGGGTTATAACATGCACCCTGCCAAGCACTAGAGGGGTTGGCAAAGAATCCCAGACTGGTTTGTGTTGGAAGGGAGCTTAAAGCTCCTCCAGTTCAAACTCCTGCCACGAGCAGGGACACCTTCCACTAGAGCAGCTTGCTCCAAGCCCCTGTGTCCAACCTGGCCTTGAACACTGCCAGGGATGGGGCAGCCACAGCTTCTCTGGGCACCCTGTGCCATCACCTCAGCACCCTCACAGGGAAGAGCTTCTGCCTAAGAGCTCATCTCAGTCTCCCCTCTGGCAGCTTAAAGCCATTCCCCTTGGCCTGGCCCTACAGGCCCTTGTCCAAAGCCCCTCTCCAGCTTTCCTGCAGCCCCTTTAGGCACTGGAGCTGCTCTCAGGTCTCCCCTTCAGGAGCCTTCTCTTCTCCAGGCTGCCCCAGCCCAGCTCTCTCAGCCTGGCTCCAGAGCAGAGCTGCTCCAGCCCTCACAACATCTCCGTGGCCTCCTCTGCACTCGCTCCAACAGCTCCACGTCCCTCTTGTGCTGCTGCCCCAGAGCTGGATCAGGACTGCAGGGGGGGGTCTCCCCAGAGTGCAGCAGAGGGGCAGGATCCCCTCCCTGAGCTGCTGCTCACGCTCTGGGGGTGCAGCCCAGCACACGGGAGGGTTCTGTTCTCAAGCCTGCACTGAAGCCAGGTCATGGGGAGCTTCTCATCAACCAACACCCCCAAGTCCTTCTCCTCAGGGCCAATGAGATGGTTGCATTGTGGCTGTGAGCAGTTTAGGTTTGAAAGCCATTAGGAATGTTATTTCCCTGGAGCTTCGCCACCCTCATATATCTGTCAAACTGGATGAATTCATCTCCCTTACTTCAGCAGGGAAACAGTCACAGTCCCTTTTGGGTTTGCTTCTTCCCCTCCCAAAAGTGTTCTCCATCTCTTTTCCCTGTGCATGTGCCAGGCACCCTGTCTTGTGCAGGGCCCAAGTGGAAGGGAAAGGGTGCTGGGGCTAGGTGGGGTTGCCTGAGGCCAGCTGTACTGCTCTGGGCTCTGACTGATGTCTGTCAGCTCTGTGTTAGGTGGCTGCTGCTTTCTGACTTGACTTTCCTCCTTACCGGCCTGAAAGCTCATTCTGGCAGTGGGAAACAGCTATTTCATTGAGCTGGAATGGTACTGGCTCTTACACCTCTGCACTGCTGGCTTGAGGCATCCAAAGCAAGGAGCTACTGTTCTGGGTAGGGAATATTACCCTGAAGTTGTTCAGTGCTTTCAAAGCTGTTCCTTTGTCCTGGAGAAATGAGGCTGAAATGGGCAGTAGTCCAACCCTCTGTTATGTCTGAATGTATTGACTGGGATCAGTGGCAATTCACAGAGCATTAGAAGCCATTGGGCTGTTCAGTTCCTGTAAGTGTCCTGCAAAGATGTGTCTGCATGGAGGAAGGAGATCCAAATGGATGTCCCCATGGAGGGGAAGGCATTCCAAGCCAAGCTCTGTAATGAGGCATCAAGTAACACCCAAACACAAGAGAAGCCTCAGTATGTATCGTTTTAGACATGCAGTCAGGCAGCTCTGAGACTCAGCAGAGTCTATCATAGAATCACAGAATCAGCTGGGTTGGAAAAGCTCTTTAAGCTCATCCAGTCCAACCGTTTCCCAGCCCTGCCAAGGCCACCACTAACCCATGGCACTGAGGCCTCGTCTCCACGCTGTGTGAACACTTGCAGGCACGGTGACTGCAGCCCTGCCCTGGGCAGCCTGTTCCAATGCCTGAGCACCCTCTGGGGCAGGAATTGTTCCTCAGCTCCATCTAAACCTGCCCTGGTGCAGCTTGAGGCCGTTTCCTCTTGTCCCATCCCTTGTTCCTTGGGAGCAGAGCCCAGCCCCTCCTGGCTCCATCCTCCTCTCAGGCAGTTGTAGGGAGCCATCAGGTCCCCCCTGAGCCTTCTCTTCTCCACACTGAACCCCCCAGGTCCCTCAGCCCTTCCCCATCACACTTGTGCTCCAGGCCCTGCACCAGCTCCGCTGCCCTTCTCTGGCCCCACTCCAGCACCTCAATGTCTCGCTTATAGTGAGGGGCCAAGAACTGAACACTGATGATAAAGAAGCTGCATGGCCTGAACTTCACTCAGCCTCGTGTCTGGAACAGTTTGGTTGTGTTTTGTCAGATGTTGTTGTCCAGCTTTGCTTTTCCTGCTGGGGAAACCTTCTCCTTGGGCTGTGAAAAGCAGTTCCTGGCTGAGAGGCCCAGGAGCTTTTGAACTGAAGGGGCCACAGTTATTAACCTTATCCATTAATTGCAGCTGGTTTGGCTGAGCATAGCTATTTATTAAGGAACAGATGGGAGGCATTTGAGAGCTCAATGGAACATAAATGGAACACTTTTGGTTACAGATCCAAATTGATCCAAGTGGCATGAAACAAGCAGTGTCCTCCTTAACAGGGAAGGAGCTGGCAGTGTTGGCACATGTTCAGCAGAAAGCCAGGCTTGTCGAGAGTCCTGTTGAGTGATTGAAAGTGTACTAAGAAGGAAAGGAGTGGTTGCTTTAACTTTGTGTTTATTGTAGGCAATCATCAAATATTTACAAGATCAAGGATTCCTTATCCTCCTCACGCCCTCTGCCTTGGCACGAGATGATGGTAAGACCAATGTAGAAGCCAATAGCTGTGCTTAAACATCCTGCTCTGGTTTAGGGACAGAGGGTGGGTACACTCAGTCTAAACAAAACCTCTTGCTTTCTGCCATAGGATTTGACCCCAAGGAGCCTGGCAGCCTCCTGGCCCTGTTCCTGTTCACCTCCTCCCAGTCAATGGGACTGAACGGTAGGGAGTTCCCTTTGGTGGCTTCAGACACTGGGTTTTGGGTGTGAGATCCTCACCAGCTTCCACTAGAGAAGCTTGCTCCAAGCCCCTGTGTCCAACCTGGCCTTGAACACTGCCAGGGATGGGGCAGCCACAGCTTCTCTGGGCACCCTGTGCCAGCGCCTCAGCACCCTCACAGGGAAGAACTTCTGCCTAAGATCTAACCTGAACTTCCCCTGTTTCAGTTTGAACCCATCACCCCTTGTCCTATCACTACAATCCCTGATGAAGAGCTCCTCTCCATCATCCTTGTAGCTCCCTTCAGACACTGGAAGCTGCTCTGAGGCCTCCATGCAACTTCTCTTCTCCAGCTGAACAGCCCCAACTCACTCAGTTCAGACTCAGAGCATGAATAATGTTTCCTGTTTCAAAATGAGCAGCCTCTGAATCTGTTCCCTTCCTGTGCAGACGGCCTTAGGACGTATGTAGGGCAGAACAAGCCTGCTATACAGAGCACCCGCAGCATTCCAGAGCCAGCAGCAGAGGCAGGAAGCTGGGAGCAGGCTCACAGCTCTGCCTGGGCTTGCTAGTTACAAGGACCAATAGGCAAAGAAAATCACACATCTGGGAGGGAAACACCCACTGGGAAGAAATGGGATAGGGAAAGGAACTGGGGCTGTCAGCCTGCTCCTGCAGCCAAAAGAAACCTCAGAGGGGGATCATAACACACAGATAGGCCAAGGATGTGGATGCAAAGCATCAGGCTGCTGGGTTGCAGTGGATGAAGCTGGATAAATCTGGCTTGTGCAGAAAGGAATGCCACTGAAGCTCTGCACATCACAGGCACTTCTGGACACCAAGGGGACCCTGCTGTGGCAAGCAGAGCCTACTTCATGGTGACATCTGAGAGGGGGGACACCCTAGAGCCTTGGGACTTCTTGTTCATCCCTGTTGGGAGCTACACTTTAATGATAGGCTTTAGTCCTCCTGAAGTGAGAAACACCAACGGCTTTCAGTAGCATCAGTCCTCCAGTTTTAGAAGATCACCCAGGGGTTCATGTTCTTTATTTATCCAGTTTCTGGGTCTGCTTGGGAATTCCATATTCCACATCCCGCTCCACAGCGCTAATGTGGTGTCTTCATGTGAAGTGGGTTATCCCATGCTGACAGCAGGTAGAGATGGAGCTGCTGGAAGCAGCATCTGGACAGGGACATAAACAACACAAGTGATCTGAAGGCAGTGCTGGCCTAAACACCCTTGATGGGCAGCCCTCAGCTGAAACAGGTTTAAAACCCCAAAAGACCCCTGTGTTTTGAGAGCTCTGAGTGCCTTAAATGTTGGATTCAGTGAGAATTGCTGGAATGAAGGGAATTAGACCACTATGTGTGTGATCTCCCTGCAGAATGAAGCTAACCGATACAACAGCAGCCTTTAATCTTAGTTTAATCCACTTTTGAATTCCATCTGAAATTCCTTTCTACCTTCTACCCTTCTACCAGTTACAAGCATGCCTCAAACCAGGCCATCACCCTTGGGTTAGTTTTTTGTAGGTTGGCTCCTGGGGCTTGTTCATAGAATCATAGAATCTTTCATGTTCTCTTTGCATGTAACAGGGAAGTGATTTTGGGAATTGAATCTTGTTTTTAAAATGAATAAAATGCTTTTCTTTTCCTTCCATAGCTGCAAAGCACCAGCCAAGAGGTGAAAGGGACCAGAGTGACATCTCACTGAGAGTAGCCTCCGTTTTGCCTGGCCTCCACTATGCCTTACAGCAAGCCACCAGTTCTTCAGGGCAGGACACAGTCAGTCCCAGCACATGGATCAAACACCACTTCCAGGAGTATGCAAAGCTTGACCAAAACACAGGGTCCTCCTCTGGCCAAAGCAGTGAAGTTCCCTTTTCTTCTGCCCTCTCCCTAACTGAGGATGAATGTACAAATCCCCTCAAGAAGTGCTCAGAGGAGTCCTTCTCCCAGCTGCAGAGTTACCTCTCTGATTCCAGCAGCTACACTCTGCCATTGGCAACAGCTTTAGGATGTTTGCCTGGTGCTGCTCAGTCTCTTTGCTGTGATTCAGAGGCTGCTGATGAACCAGACTTATCTTCAGCTCTGCCACCAGACCTGATTCTCTTCAACACAACAGGAGAAAAAGAAGTCAGAAGTGAAGACCCACATCCCACCCTGGGGCTGGACCAGGTTGGTGAAGAGCCTGCAGAAGGTGTTGACTTAACCAGCAAGCTCTCGGTGCAGAGTAGCAGGAAGAAACCCAAGAGAGAGATTGCAAACAGCACCAGGGATGAATTGCCACCACCAGAGAAGCAAATGGGGCATAGGAGCAGCAACAGGAAAGCAGCCAATAAGATCAACCTTGCTTTATCTTCTGAGAAGCCAGGATCTGCAGACAAGTCCAATGAGCCCACACTTGAATTAGCCAACTTGCAGTTGCCACAGAGAAGGAAAAGAGGTAAGTGCTGTATAAAGGGGACTAACTTCCTCCTGCTTTTCCAGAAGCTGGGATGCTCAGGGTTCACTAGGAGCCATGGCCCCTTCCCAGCCCCCTCAGGTGCCCAGAGCAAGCAGATGCCTCCTGAGCCCACCTCTGCTATGAACAGAGGCTGAGAAAGCTGGGCTGGTTCAGCCTGGAGAAGACTCCTTAAGGGGAGACCTTAGAGCAGCTCCAGTGCCTAAAGGGGCTACAAGAAACCTGGAGAGAGGCTTTGGACAAGGGCCTGTAGGGACAGGACAAGGGCAATGGCTTTAAGCTGCCAGAGGGGAGACTGAGATGAGCTCTTAGGCAGAAGCTCTTCCCTGTGAGGGTGCTGAGGCGCTGGCACAGGGTGCCCAGAGAAGCTGTGGCTGCCCCATCCCTGGCAGTGTTCAAGGCCAGGCTGGACACAGGAGCTTGGAGCAAGCTGCTCTAATGGAAGGGGTCCCTGCTCATGGCGGGGGTTGGAACTGGGTGAGCTTTAAGGTCCCTGCCAACCTAAACCAGTCTGGAATTCTATGAAAATTAAGCAGTGCAATTTCCACACCCAAACTGAGACTCAAAGTGGTTTGTTTTGCTGTAGCTCAATCTGAATTCAACAGAACTAAACTGCATTTGGGCCAGTTTCATCCTGAACAAAACCATCTCGACCATGATTTAGCATGGCATTCTTAAAGTGTGACATTGATCCCACCCAGCTACAGCTGAAAGCTGGTATCAGGCCTGAGCTGCTCATGTGAGCTGTCTCAATGCATGAATTGTTCTCTGAAGGCTCCTGTCTCATCGCTGAGGCTGGTTAAACCTGGGCTCTGTAGCCAGCCTCTGCCTCATGTACAGAGTCTGAAAGTGGGTTGAGATGAATCTCAGTCTTGGTGATGAAACATGGCCAGAACCATTCAAAGGACTACTGCAGAGTTAGTGCCATCCTCTGTGACCTCCCCTCCCATTTACACACACCACAGGTAGGGCAGTGACTGTGGGAATGGGCTCTTGTGCAGCACAGGGGTGGCTGGGATGAAGTCACCTCTGAGTCTCAGTCCTGGGGCACCTTTGCCTCAAGTGGTGGCATTGCTGATGAGATCCATCTGTTGGTGGATCTCAAGGGTGGATTGCTGAGGTACCTGTGCTTCTTGGAGAGGTAAATAAGTGCCCTCAGGCTGCTTCCTGTGCCAGGCAGGAATTAGGGTGATTTTATCCCTGGAGAACACCTATTCCAGGTCAGGAAAACAAGTTTTTAATGAGCTTAAGAAGTGATGCTTAACTTTTAATAACTGCTCACTGATCACTCCCATCAGTAACAAACCCATTTGTTACTCAGCTCAGATGCATAAAGCAAGTCGTGGAACACTACTGTGCTGCTGCCAATCCCTTCTAAAGCACTCCACATTCACAGAACCATGGAATGCCAGGTGGGCAAGGACCTCAGGGATCACCTGGTCCAACCTTTCTAGGCAAAGCATTATCTAGACGAGATGCCCCAGCACCCTGTCCACCTAAATCTTATGTGTGGGGAATCCAATTCTCTGGGATTGGAGATGATCATCTGGAGATGATTCCAATGGCTGATTGTTCTCATGGTGAAACATTCCCCTCTTGTGTCCAGTTGGAATCTTCCAGGATTAACTTGTGCCTGTCACCCCTCAGCTTTTCCTTGTGATTCCTTATACTTTACTCATCTTCCTTAACTTGGTATTTTGCAATGACTCCTTTTTAGTCCGATATGTCTCAAACCAAAGGTGATGCTCTCTCTTTTCCAGGTGCAGAGGTCCTGTCTGCAGAATTCATGCAGCAAACACAGTCTGGAGCTGTTCAGAAGGAAACCCCAGCTCCTGATGCTTCTGCCTTGGAAACCAAGAGACCAAGGCTAATGAGGAAGCCAGAGGAGAAGAAGGTTCCTGTTGCTGAGAGCACCAGAAAGCCAGTGAAGAGGCAGATATTAAAACCTGTGGCTAAAAGCTCCTCGAAACCCAAAGCCAACAAGCAAGCAGAAAGTGGTAAGAGTGCTGTTCCCTATGGAAATCTTGCCTTTAAAAGCTGAGCCATCAAACATCACAGGCAGGTCACAACCAGATGATCATAAAAGCACATTGGCAGTAGCCACAGGGCTTTAGAGGTCTGGATTGGGTCTGAGTGCTGCTGCCACCCAGCCTGCAGTTGTATAAACTGAGTGGATAAAGCAACTGCCTAGTATAAAACACAAAGGTGATGGTGAAAATCCTTGTTCCAGGACGGACAAACCAGACAGGGGCTCTTGTGAGTCCTTTCCTATTCCTTCAGTTTGCATCCCTGGCAAACTGCTGGGATAAGGAGTGGAATTGTCACAGCCTTTGCAGCCTGCAGCATATTTAAGAGGCAGCGCTGAGTGGACAACACCTGACTGTGGTATCTGCAGGTGCTGGCTGGGAGCCTGCAAGTGAAACTGGGAACCAGTATTATGTTGCCAAGACAAGTGATGGATCAGAAGAGTCATTTTCTTAGTTTGTTTTCTCACACATTGATGTCTTTTTTTTCAGCTGTTTCTGGCCTTTTTCCTCTTCCTGGAGACTTTGAAGACAGGTTCAGGCACCTCAGCTCAGTTTATCCTGCCTTCTTGGTCTTTTATTGCCATGTATTTCTGAAATGTGGCATTTTTCATCAGTGTGTGTGTATCAAACACTGTCCCTCACAGAATCACAGGTTTGGGTTGGAAAGGACCTTAAAGCTCACCCAGTTTCAACTCCTGCCACAGGCAGGGACACCTTCCACTAGAGCAGCTTGCTCCAAGCCCCTGTGTCCAGCCTGGCCTTGAACACTGCCAGGGATGGGGCAGCCACAGCTTCTCTGGGCACCCTGTGCCAGCGCCTCAGCACCCTCACAGGGGAGAGCTTCTGCCTTATCTCCAACCTGAACTTCCCCTGTTTCAGTTTGAACCCGTCATCCCTTGTCCTATTGCTACAGTCCCCGATGAAGAGCCCCTCTCCAGCATCCTTGTAGCCCCCTTCAGATATTGAATACGCAGATACGGATATGCAGTTCACAAGGAAATGCAATGTAACACATTGGACTTTAACACAGATGTGATTCAATAAGGTTTTACTTGAAGGGAGATGTTTCTGAGGTGTTTTTTAGTAGAAGACATTAATCTTATTTAATGTCTTCATACTGGTTTTATGAACATGGGCCTAGAGCCATGGTGAAAACTGCATGAACACTTATGTGCTGTGCTGTGGCTGCCTTTGGATCATAACACACAGGGAGGCCAAGGCTGTGGGTGCAAAGTGCCAGCCAGCACCAGGCTGCTTGGTTGCAGTTAATAAAGCTGGACTTGTGAAGAAGAGTTTCAGTGTGTGTGCTCTGAGGTTCAGCTCAAGAGCAGGTTATGCTCTAGGTAGGGTGTGCAGTGGGAAGCATGAGGGCACAGGGGTTTTCTCTGTGGTTCAGTGGTTTGGGGTGGGTTTTGTAATGGACTGTTGAAAGCACAGCCCAAGGGTCAGGAGGGAAGACTCCCAAATACTCAAGCTAGGTCAAAATGTAAAGCAAAATAAAAAGGATGAAGGAAACACCTGAAATAGTTCGGGTTGTATTTAAGTGGCCAAACAACCCTGTGCACAGAGGCCAAGGGATGTTTTGTTCCCTTTGGATCCCATGCCTGTTAGTTCTGAGAATAAACCTGCTTCCTGAAATCACTTAGATTCCCAGCTCTGGATCATTCTGTAGTAGCCATGTCCATGGAGATGGGGTTTGGTTTAAGTGTGTAAATTCCACGTTGGAGACATACTTTTCCTGTCAAACCGAAAGCTATTTGAACACCTATGTGGCCTTTGTTTAATCTCTGTTTTCCTTACTCAGAGCACCAGGAGCCGCCCTCTGTCCTCCCAGGAGAAGCTTCTTCCCAGTGTCATGGAGATGACAGCAAAATGGGTGAGGTTTGCCCAGATGGACTTGGTGATCCTGGTCTCAACCTGAAGAGGAACAGGTACGAGCCCCATGCCTTGAACTTGCTGGCTGACCTGGCTCTGGGTTCCTGTAGTCCTTTGGTTATCCCAGCAGACAGTGAGGTGGCAGCTGAGTCCTGCAGCCACTCCAGTGACTCTCCAGAGGAGCAGCAAAGCCACCACAAGCACAAATCCTCATGTGTTGCTTCTGATCATGAATACCACAGGGTGACAAGGCTCGCAGAGGGAGACACCTCTCCTAGCAAGGTCGTGCCAAACCAGAAGCAGCATCCTGCGGAAAACAAAGTCTTAAATGACTTGGCCTCTAGTCCCAGGGAGAAAAACTCTACGGTTTCCTGTATGAGTAACAGATTGAGGCCCAGGCCACCAAAACCCCATGTGTTGCCTCCAAAAAAGACTCCAAAGGCTCCCAAGGTGAACAAGGTGAACAATAACACCTTAATCTCTGCTGAGCACTCGTACGCCTCACAGATGCCTGAGAACTCAAAGAAACCCGTGAATCCCAAAGGTACCTCCAACCCTGCACCAGCATCCGTCAGGAGCAACCGAGCAAGGCCCCTGGTTGGGAAGGTGCTGCCCTTCAGGCACCAGCAGAGCAGCAGCCACCCACAGGCCATAGCCATGAGGCACAGGAACAGGGTGAAGGAAGACTTTGCCAAGAGACACAAAGTGAAGATCTGTGATGAGTCCATAATGGTGACGTGCCACTGGAATGCACCGTATCTTTTCCACTTGGACAGCAGATACACCAATGATGCCCTGGAGAAGACAGTTGTCCGTGGCCTGCATGGGTAAGTTGCTCTGGAAGGCTATCTGGAGGGATTGGCTCCTGCTGGAGTGCTTTTGGAAGGGGCTTTCTTTGCTTTCTGTTTGCTCAGCACTATCATTGCCTTCTTTCCCATGCTAAAAAGCCCAGTTTTACTGTGTTAAAGCTGGTGTCTTCCCTGAGGAGAAGGACTTGGGGGTGTTGATCGATGAGAAGCTCCCCATGACCCAGCTTCAGTGTGTGCTTGAGCCCAGAACCCCCCCATGTGCTGGGCTGCACCCTCAGAGCGTGAGCAGCAGCTCAGGGACGGGATCCTGCCCCTCTGCTCTGCTTTGGGGGGACGCCCCCTGCAGTCCTGATCCAGCTCTGGGGCAGCAGCACAAGAGGGACGTGGAGCTGTTGGAGCGAGTGCAGAGGAGGCCATGGAGATGCTGCGAGGGCTGGAGCAGCTCTGCTCTGGAGCCAGGCTGAGAGAGCTGGGCTGGGGCAGCCTGGAGAAGAGAAGGCTCCTGAAGGGGAGACCTGAGAGCAGCTCCAGTGCCTAAAGGGGCTGCAGGAAAGCTGGAGAGGGGCTTTGGACAAGGGCCTGTAGGGACAGGCCAAGGGGAATGGCTTTAAGCTGCCAGAGGGGAGACTGAGATGAGCTCTTAGGCAGAAGCTCTTCCCTGTGAGGGCGCTGAGGCGCTGGCACAGGGTGCCCAGAGAAGCTGTGGCTGCCCCATCCCTGGCAGTGTTCAAGGCCAGGTTGGACACAGGGGCTTGGAGCAAGCTGCTCTAGTGGAAGGTGTCCCTGCCCCTGGCAGGGGTTGGAACTGGATGAGCTTTAAGGTCCCTTCCAACACAAACCAGTCTATGATTCCCATGGCTCTGCAGCTAGAATTGATATCTAATGCCATGAGCCCAAGTCCTACTTTGCAGCTGTGAGTTTCTCTTTATTCCAATATGTTGGAATAACTGCATTGAGTGATCCATGACTGCAAATAGGCATCTCTGGGGCTTAGCACTGTGGGGAACCAGGAGATGCCTTGTGCCAGTCACCTGGAGGGAGGATGAAGATGTTTCAATCTGTGTTTGCTTTCTTTGCAGGCCCTGGAACTCTCGTCAGCCTGATGATGTGCAGGAGCTGAAGCTGATACTCCACATGTGGGTGGCTCTCTTCTACAGCAAGCCCAGCCTGCTGAGCAGCACGAGGGTGGTGGTGGAGCACAGCGACCCCAAGAAGTATGTCTCAATAAAGACCACTTGGGACTTCCTTGACTTCAGTGATGATGGTGAGGACTATTTTGGGTTGGAGAAGTGCCCTGCAGACAGTCGCTCAGACCCTGACCAGACTCCCAGCAGCTCTGTGGATCACACCACACGTAACCAGGGTCACTTCCACTCTGCAGACTCTCAGACTGATGCTGATGGGACTCCTGCTGTTGTTGATAACACAGTGTCATCTTCAGGAGAGGTGCCCTGTGGGGAGGAGGAGCCTTCCTCCACAAGCTGTCCTGAACGTGCTGATGAGAAAGACAAAGAGCCTGCAGCCATTGCTGAGGAGCATGGGCATGACATCCCAACCATCACTAAGGTAAGAGCTTGGGGTGTGAGTGATACAAGTCTGTAGGACACAGAATGCATTTTATGCTTACAGGAATAGGATCTTCTGAAAGGAGGGGAGCAGAGATGCGTGTGGGCTCCCTCAGAGCCAGGTACTGGAGGTCCACAAAGCAGGAGTGAGGAGAATTCACCGGCATTTATCTGCCCCAGATGACTGCCACAGGCATAGGACCATAAACTCATGGAATACCAGGTTGGAAGGGACCTCAAGGGCCGTCTGGTCCAGCCTTTTTTGGCAAAGCGTGACTTAGACTGGATATCCCAGCACCCCGTGCAGCCCAGTCTTAACAGTGACCGGTGCTGGGGAATCACCAATCTCACAGGGAAGAACTGCCTTAGATCTAACCTGAACTTCCTCTGTTTCAGTTTGAACCCATCACCCCTTGTCCTATCACTCCAGTCCCTGATTGAAGAGCTTCTCTCCAGCATCCTTGTAGCTCCCTTCAGACACTGGAAGCTGCTAAGCGGTCTCCATGCAACTTCTCTTCCCTGAGCTCAACAGCCCCAATGTTCTCAGCCTGTCTCCATACAGGAGGTGCTCCAGCCCCTGATCATCCTCATGGCCTCCTCTGGACTTGCTCCAACACCTCCGTGTCCTTCTTACGTTGAGGACACCAGAACTGCACACAGTGCAGCAAGTGGGGTCTCACGAGAGCAGAGTAGAGGGGCAGGATCACCTCCATGATCTTGCTGCTCACACTCCTTTTGAAAACCTCCTCTTCTTTCTTAACCTCCGAATTGTGTTGTTTCAGGAGAAGCCACCCAAGGAGGGAAGGATGAAGGATGTTACAACCACCTCCAGCCCTGCTTATGAGCTCAGTGGCACTAGCAAGCCCCCAGCTGTGCTGGGCAAGGAAAACCCCTGCAGCCAAGCCCCAGATCCCAGTTCAGCTCCTTGGAGAGATGCCCCATGCACACTGCATGGACAAGGAGAGCAGCAGGAGAGTGGATGGACAGCAGGGTCAGGGAATGGCCCCGGCCCTCCCGAGAACACAGAGAGCATTGCAGACACTGAGCACTGTATGGAGATTGAGGACAGTGGCTGGGCCACCAGTGATGGACCACAACAGGCCTCTGGTTGGCTCTTCTTAGAAGCAAGTCCTACAACAGCAAAGCCTGGTGAAGCCAGGAGGGAAGGGAGGGAATCACAGAACCTCCTTGGATGTTCAGAGGAAGAGGTGGAGGAGGTAGAAGACGAGAAGGAGGACTGTGAATATGAGAGCACAGCCCTGGAGCCTGGCTTTTTGGCATTCTCTGCAAGCAGTGATGACAGCATGGACTGTGAACACAACAAGCAGAACCCAGTGCATCCAGCATGGCCACAGGGCTCTGGTGTCCCTGTGCCCAGCCCTCCTGCCTTAGCATCCCCTTGCCCAGGCAGATTAATGCCAGAGCTGTCAGATGGGACTGGGACTGGCCCTCAAAGGCTTCCTGGTGGGGTGGCACCAAGCCTGAACATGCTGGAAGAGGTTTTGGCCACCCCAGATGCAGAGGTGAAGGGTGTTGGCCTGGCACACACAGGCAGTGCAGCTGATGGGGGGTCACCCTGTGACAGCAGGTTGTTGCCTCCATCACCATCTGACCCGAGCTTGGTTGGTGAGACACAGCCAGACAAGAACTGTGCACCCTGTGCAGCAGGGTGGGAATCTGCTGGGAGCAGGGCTGGGTCACCGAGCAGCCAGGACCTGTCAATGGCCTTGTCCCCTGACTCCAGCTCTGTCTGCCTGATACCTCCTGACAGAGCAGCAGGTCCTGGGGCTGCTCCAGAGGAGCAGGACACCTTGGGGAACATCCGGTCCCCATCACAGAGCAGTGTGGGAGGGAGCAGCGGCCTTTCCCAAGGGTTTGGAGGTGATGCTGATGCTGAGCTCCCTTTGCTGAGCACTGGTGAAACAAAGCAAGAAGGGAACAAGGATTTGGTGGAAGAAGAGAGGAACATCCCTTCTGCCAATGGCACGGATGTGCTGGAGTCCTCAGGAGCAAGTGATGGCCAGGACTTTGCTTACACAGCCTTTGCAGATGGCTCTGAAGCTGGGGACAGTGATGATGTGTGCCTCGGGGCAAAGGAGTACTCCAGGAGCAACAAAAGCAGCACAGTGATGGTGGCTCACAAACTACAGGAGCCAGAGCCCTCTCTTCATCCCCTCCTCGAACCAGAACCTTCCTTCTCAATGCAGGAAGGGATGTCAGCCATGGAGAAGCACCCCAAGCAGCAGCAGAGAAACCCAAATGGGCTGTCCTCCTCTGCCCATGATTCCCCTCCTGCTTCTCCATCCCATGGTGAACACACAGATCCCCACCACTGCCTGTTAGAGCAAAGGGAGTGGTGGCCAGTCCCGTGCCAGCAAAAGGGGTCCTGTGGGCAAGTACATGCTGCAGAGGTGAGTGTGGCTGCTGGGAGCTTAAATGGCTACTTAGAACCCAGGTGTGTGGAAGAGGTGGGAAAAGGCACAGGCACCTGCCATGCAGAGCCAGCAGAGAGCTCCCCCATGGATGTGCCTGGTGACCTGGGATTGATGCCTCCTGCTCCTCCACATGGACACAAAGCAGGTCTGCACAGCACTGAGCCACACTCGGTGCTCAGAGAGCACCCCAGGGTGCTGTCTCCAGCTTCAGATGCTGCCCCATGGTCCTGCTGCATGGATACCAGCCCTGGGGCCCAAGCAGCAGATGCAGCAAGCAGCCACGAGACGGAACCCATCCTGCCTGAGAGCTTGGAAGGAGGAAGCAGCTTCCCTCTTGCTGGGTCTGCATCATCTTCATCAGGGGAGTTGCTGATGCCTCTGTCTGAGCTCCAGTCTGTGTGTAAGCAAGGGGAGCAGGAGGCTCAGGGAGCTGACGGGCTTCCTGAGCTGCACCAGGCCAGCACAGAGGTGGAAGACATAGAAATCCACACTCCCCCCTTCCCAGTGTTGTCATTGCATGCACAAAGGGTGCTCTCTGCAGGAAGGCTGGAGCTGGCTGATGCTGATGGTGTCTCAGATGGGCTCCTGAGGTCCAAGGAGCTTCCCAGCAAAGACACACACATGGATTCAACCTTTGAGGCTTCCTCCAGCGACTCCAGCCAGGAGGAGACTTCATGGTCCCTGCTCACAGCCAGAGCTTCCTACAGCAGATCCATGGATGCTGCAGGCACAAGGACTAACTGTGGCTCGTCCCCTGGGAGCCCAGTGTGCTCAGAGGGGGGCAGTGAGGACTGGGGCTCACTGGACATGGAGGGGAGCCCATGCTCATGGGCTGAGCATGGCTGGACCATCAGCCCAGGGGACACCAGCAACGAGCTCATCCCTCCACATGTCACTATTAGGGACAAGCAGGGGATTGCCAAGCAGTGCAGGAACTTGGTGGTCACCAAGAAGTGCCAGGAGCCTCAGAAGAGGCATAGACACTGTATGGGGCAGTCCCATTTGTTACAGTCACTATGGGGGACTTGGAGGGGGTTTGAGGGAATCACACAGGACACTTTGGACATGGAGTGTCTCCGTTTCTATGATAAGCTAAAACACATCCTGAGGAGTGGGAAACCACCTTTTTCTACCTCCAAAAGCATCTTCCCAAAAGACTTTTGTCCCCAGGTGATGTCTGAGACATCTCCTGCACCAGAAGCTCCCATCCCACGGAGCAGGAGCCCTTTGCAGGTGACAATCCTGCCCTGGGACACATGGCCGAGTGGGCTTGACTGGCATGGGGGTCCCCAGCATGGGGACCAGTGCACCCCATGGCAGGACACCCTCTGTGACAAGAGGAGCAGAGCCCAAAACACGAGCCAGGGCTTCCACCTCAGCAAGCTCAAGTACGACCACAAGCTCCAGGACACAGAGGGGGAGGTTGCCATCATCTTTGATGAGTTCAGGAGGGTGATGCTGAGGACGGCTGGGGCAGGGACACAGGGCCAAGAGGATGTCCCAGTGGGTATGGGGGACACAAGTGAATGGGCTTGTGCATCCCTCGCCGGGAGGATGGAGACCTTCGAGGAGATGATCACTGACCTGTGCAGCTCGCTGCGGTCCCACCTCTGCAGCGTGGCCAAGGAGGCCTGTGGCCACAATGGATCCTTCTACGTGGTGGAGACGGGCGAGGAGCCGTTCTTTGCAAGGTTGAAGGTAACAACGGGGTTGCACAGGGATGGGTGGCTCTGGGGTGGGAGCTGAGGCAGCAGGAGCGTGTTCAACCCAACAGGGATGGGGTTTGGTTCCACCTCTGCCATCTCCTGCCAATGACAGGAATTGGAATCATGGAATCCCAGCCTGGTTTGGGTTGAAGGGACCTTAAAGCTCCTCCAGCTCCAACCCCTGCCACAGGCAGGAACACCTTCCACTAGAGCAGCTTGCTCCAAGCCCCTGTGTCCAACCTGGCCTTGAACACTGCCAGGGATGGGGCAGCCACAGCTTCTCTGGGCACCCTGTGCCAGCGCCTCAGCACCCTCCCAGGGAAGAGCTTCTGCCTAAGAGCTCATCTGAGTCTCCCCTCTGGCAGCTTAAAGCCATTGCCCTTGTCCTGTCCCTACAGGCCCTTGTCCAAAGCCCCTCTCCAGCTTTCCTGGAGCCCCCTTAGGTGTTGGAAGGTTGATTTATTTAGGTTGGAAAAGCCCTTTAAGCTCATCCAGCCCAACCGTTCCCAGCCCTGCCAAGGCCACCACTAACCCATGGCACTGAGGTGTGTGAACACTTGCAGGGACGGTGACTGCAGCCCTGCCCTGGGCAGCCTGTTCCAATGCCTGAGCACCCTCTGGGGAAGGGATTGTTCCTCAGCTCCATCTAAACCTGCCCTGGTGCAGCTTGAGGCCGTTTCCTCTTGTCCCATCCCTTGAACATCCCCCAGGCCAAATCAGAGCTGAGTTCATGCAGGAACAGGCCAAATTCAAACCCTGCAACGTGGCTTTTGCTCCAGCTCCCATGAAAGGGTTGGCGATGGTGATTGCATGGGGGGATTTGCTGCTCTGCAGCAGCACAGAGGCCTGATGATGCCCGAGGTGTTCCTTTAGCAGGTTTTTGCTGACAAAGGTCAATGTCTGCTTCCTCCACCTCTGGCTGGAGCCCTGGCCTGGAGCACATGGTGCCTGTGACCAATGGACACTGCAGGGTGCCTGCTTGGGGTCCCTGTGCTGCTCCCCTCATCATGTCCCCAGGCCCGTGTGTGCTGGGAGCGCAGCAGTGCTGTTGTGGAGGAGTTCTCCACACAAGGCTCACGTGGTTCCTGTTTCAGACCTTGCTGAGGAAGCTGGGACACGTGGAGACTGAACCCCTGAGCTTCTGCCAAGCAAAGTGTCCAGACACTGATCGGCTGCTTGTGGTCATCAGGAACGAGGATGTCTCCTCTCACATCCACAGCGTAAGAACTCAGTCTGACCTGTTCTGATCATACCCACACTGGGTTCTACTGTCAGGATCCATTTGGAAGGGGTTTAGTTTCATTTCACACTCTATAGAGTCTCTGCAGATCTGTCCAGCTCTGCAAGTGCTCTGTTCTCTCCATGGAATCACAGAACCATGGAATGGTTTGTGTTGGAAGGGACCTTAAAGCTCATCCAGTTCCAACCCCTGCCACAGGCAGGGACACCTTCCACTGGAGCAGCTTGCTCCAAGCCCCTGTGTCCAACCTGGCCTTGAACACTGCCAGGGATGGGGTATCCATCGCTTCCTTGGGCAGCCTGCTCCAGTGTCTCACCACCATCATCCATCACCATCAATGCCTTTGAGATTGGGCTATGGAGACAGGGGTGTTGGGGTGCTACAGGCAGAGGACAGGATGGGCTCCCTGGAGCAAGTGTGACTTAGAGAAGTGCAAATGCAATTGAAATGCAGCTTCATGTTCAAAAGCATCTCTTCCTTCTGCAGGTCCCCTGCTTGCTGCAGCTGAAGCACCGTCCCAACGTGGTGTTTGCTGGAGTGGACAGCCCTGAAGATGTACCAGGTCACACGTACCAGGAGCTGTTTCATTCTGGTGGCTTCGTGGTGTCAGATGATGGCTTGTTGGAAACGGTGACACTGGGTAAGTCTTGTGGCCTCTTGCTTGGAGGCAAACACAGTGTCAGCTCCTGGCCTTGTCTGCTGACACCTCCAGACACTCCCCATGGGTGTCCTCTGCTCCTGCTTTAAGTGGGATAAGTTCCTTCCCTCTGTTTGTAGACCCCATCTGGATAATGGGTCCAGGTCAGGGCTCCCCAAAACATCTAAGTACAGCAGGGGCCAGCAGAATGGTCAGGGGCTGGAGCAGGTTGTACAAGGACAGCCTGGAAAAGGGAGGACAAAGGGAAGACCTTGTTGCTGTCTTCAGCTCCCTAATGGGAAGTGGTAGAGACAGCAGAACCACGTTCCTCCTCGAGATGCAGAGGGCTGGGATGAGAGGTGACAGGGACATGTTGCACTGATCCCTTTAGATATTAGGGGGGAAGGAATTCACAGCAAGTGTGTTCAACACCAGGATCCCAGTGTTTTGAGGCTGCATCCTTGGAGACCTTCAGACCTTACCTAGAACAGCCTCAGGTGGTCCAGCTTTGAGCAGGGCAGGGCCAGGGACCTCCTTCCACCCTCAGTTACCCCTTGGCTCCTGCTGTCTCCTCAGGCCAACTGAAGGAGGTGGTGAACGTGCTGGAGAAGCTCAACAGAAGCGGGAGGTGGAAGTGGCTCCTTCACTACAAGGAGAGCAAGAAGCTCAGAGAAGACATCAGGTAATGGCTCAGTGGTGGCAGCTCCCTCATCCCTGCTGTCCCTGTCACCACAGTAAGGATGTACCCACCTTGGTGTCCCCTTCAGTGCCCTCGGAGCAGGGCCACAGGGTGAGTTTGGTGCCGCTGGGTGGGTTTTGGCCTGTTACAAGATGAATTTGAAGAACTTATCAGTGAGAGATCGCATGCCTCAAGTCTGGAATTGCTGGAGGTCAGCACTGGAGTGCTAGAGAGTGTGATAGGTTGTCTTAGATACACCTGTATGAGATGGAGTAGCAGGACATGGGGCCTGAGAGCATCAGATGGCCTGAAGAGCTGTCTTACACGTGATCCAGGATAAGGCAGGGCTCTGGCAGCAGCTTCTTGCACCCTGCTGGGCCTCCATAAGGCAGTTCCCTCTCTATGGCAGAGACACCCTCTGTGAGCATTATGGCCTGCAAAGGGCTTGAGGGGAGGCACAGATTGCATGTGAGGAGCTGCACGCTCCAAACGCCACCTCTGCAAACAGCTCCCATCCCTCCAGCTCCTGCACACACCCTCCAGGAGCTCAGGGTCCCTCTCTGTGCCCCAGTGTCTCCTTGCTGTCCCTTCTTCTATCCCATCACATGTGGGATCTGGGGGAGTGATGGGCAGCTCTGATTGGAACGTGGTGAAGAACAGGGGTGTTGTGGGGAGCGAACAACAACAAACCCAGATGGGAAAAGCAGAACTGCTGTTGCTCTTTACTCCTTATTTTAGGTTACTTGCACCAGTGTGTATTTAAATGATAGTTTGAAAAGGAGAAGACAGCAGCTGGTATCCATTGAAATGTCCTGCTTTTACCAGGTTTGAACTCAGAAAGGGAGGTTTTTATCAGGCAAGTCCCTTTGTTAGGCAGAGGGGATGGCTTTCTAGTAACAACCTGCAAACCAAGAGGAAACCGCTCTGTTCTGTGAGCAGAAGATGCTACAGTCAACAAGGAGAACTCTCAGATCCTATCCCTACTCAGCCTTTATGGTGACAGCACAGAGCAGTGTGGGTTTCAGCCTTTCAGCAGTGGCACAGAACTCGGGTGTTTCATTGCAGGCTGAGATGAGGACCCGACCTCATCACTGGCTGTGCTATGGAGCCAGTGTTCTTGTGCTGCATCACTGGCTCTCACGTAGCATCACTTGACTCCATTGTGAAGGGATCATGAGCCCTGTCTCATGGTTTAACCCCAACTCAGCCCCACACAGGCAGTTGCTTGCTCCTCCCTTATCTCCAACCTGAACTTCCCCTATTTCACTTTGAATCCATCACCCCTTGTCCTGACACTGCAGTCCCTGATGAAGAGCCCCTCTCTGGCATCATCTTGGGGTTGGCATCATCTTGTCTCCCTGCCACACACGTAACCCCTACAGTGATGCTGCTCCTGCCATCTTCATTGGTGCAGGGCAGCAAGTCTAAAAGCACCCATGATGCTGAAGGACCACACGTAGTGTGAAGGGAGGTCCCGTCGTTCCTGCTCACTGTCCCCTCTCCCAGCAGGGTGGACCCCAATGCCCACAAGAAGCATTTGATCCTCAGAACGTGCCAAGGAGCTGATCTCATGGAGGTGCTGCACTACCACACGTGTGACTCGGTGTCACCCCCCAGCTCTGAGCACGTCAAGTGCTTGTTGAACCTGCAGGTTCAGCACATCAGCGCCAGGTTCGCTGTGTACCTCACAGGTAAGGAGAGCTCTGGGGGCTGGAGCCATCAACACCGCGAGCGCAGGGTTGGATTGGTCTGGAAAGGGATGGAGGAAGGACAAAAACCCACCCATTTGCCTCCCATTTCTGCTGGAAGCAGTGATTTGAGGTGGGGGCCATGATTTGGAGAAATCTCCAGGCACAAACTCGCCAGCAGAGTTTCAAGCTGACAAGCAGGGATTCTTTATTGCAGCGCAGGGAGACACGGGGGATAGCTCCTCCTAACGTGTGACCCCATATTGCTACTCAGGCCATTCTTATATAGTTCCTGGGCATACATACATATCGATGAGGCTACATATGGATTACATCGTTTTCCAGAAGGTTCCCCGCATGCACACAGAATTGTGGTGGTCTCTGAGGGTCGTTTACTTCTTCCAACAATCTTCATCACTTCGGGCAGCCTTTGAAGCACATGCTGTAGGTGCTTATAGCAGCTTATTTGGTTCGTTAGCACCACAGGCATAACAATCCTCCTGTCCTGCTGCGTATCAGTTAGCTCAGCTGCAGCCCATCCTGGACACCTGCCATTCCCAGATACTCCTTATCCCTGTAGCCTGGTTTTCTTACACTCATTTTGCACTAAGGTCATAGGGCCCAAAACTACGTCAACTGCAGTGGTTTATCCTGTACCAGAATTCTCAGTATGTTCTCTAGCTGTACTCTATTTTTTCTGTGCATCACGAACCTCAGTAATTTTCCATTGCTATTGTTACAAAGCCGTGAAACTTAACATTACTTAGAACTGGTTCTAAAAGTTTATATACCTCATATTGTAATTTTGTGCCCCCCTTGTCTCAGTCAGGTGGGAGCTGATTCATTGCAAGTCAGTGCAGTAAAAGGCAAAATGAACAGATTTGGTCTGAAGGTTGCTAAATTCATAGCATCCCAGAGGTTTGGGTTGGAAGGGACCTTAAAGCCCATCCAGTCCCAACCCCTGCCACGGGCAGGGACACCTTCCACTAGAGCAGCTTGCTCCAAGCCCCTGTGTCCAGCCTGGCCTTGAACACTGCCAGGGATGGGGCAGCCACAGCTTCTCTGGGCACCCTGTGCCAGCGCCTCAGCACCCTCACAGGGAGCAGAGGTTGGTTCAGAACAACCTCAGTTGCTTGTTAGAATTACAGAGCTGTCCCTTCCTTTGCAGAAACACCTGGTGTCAGCAGGGAGGTCCTTGAAAGCAAAGGAATCCTGGTAGCTGATGTCAACACTTTCCTTGGGAAGGTGCAGAAAGTGGCTGCTCCGTTTAGAAGAAGCTACTGGTAAGGAAAGGGCTTGGGATCAACCCTTAGAATCACAGAACCAGCTGGGTTGGAAAAGCCCTTTAAGCTCATCCAGCCCAACCGTTCCCAGCACTGCCAAGGCCACCACTAACCCATGGCACTGAGGCCTCGTCTCCACGCTGTGTGAGCACTTGCAGGGACGGTGACTGCAGCCCTGCCCTGGGCAGCCTGTTCCAATGCCTGAGCACCCTCTGGGGAAGGAATTGTTCCTCAGCTCCATCTAAACCTGCCCTGGTGCAGCTTGAGGCCATTTCCTCTTGTCCCATCCCTTGTTCCTTGGGAGCAGAGCCCAGCCCCTCCTGGCTCCATCCTTGTGTCAGGCACTTGCAGAGAGTGACAAGGTCCCCCCTGAGCCTTCTCTTCTCCACACTGAACCCCCCAGGTCCCTCAGCCCTTCCCCATCACACTTGTGCTCCAGGCCCTGCAGCAGCTCCAGTGCCCTTCTCTGGCCCCACTCCAGCACCTCAATGCCTCTCTTGTAGTGAGGGGCCCAGAACTCCCCCAAAGGGCCGGGAGCAGCTCCTGGGATGACAAGCAGGAAGCTGGGATCCAGGGACCTTCCCCAAGTGCTGGCTCTGCTGACACTCAGGGCCATTCCCAAAGCTACAGTTGGGAAGGACCGTGCTCAGCAGTGGGAAGCACACACCATGGGGAGGCCCTGCAGAGAGGTTGTCACTCCCTGGAGCAAGGAGAGGAGCAGAGGAATAACCTTTCTGTGTTCTCTATTGTAGGTGACGAAGCGAAGCCAGTTTGAGCACCCTGGTACTCTGCAAGACACCTCCGTCCCAGCAGGTTTCAGGTGCTGCCCACAGGAGCTGTGTGCAGGGAGTGGCAGGATGGTGTGGCTCCAGTTCTGTATATAGGAATTATTTAAAGGTGGCTGATGCAAATCCTGCCAGGGGTTTACTCCGTGTTCATCACGTTGCCTGTAGGCCAGAGGTCACTTTACCATTATCCAGGGTTAAATTATTGGAGTGTTCTCAAGTGATTTGTGCAGCTGACAGGGGAAGAAATAGGAGTAAATGAAACAAAAAGCTGTTTACTTGAAGGTGAGGTGATATTCAAGTCCTCAGTAATAGGTGCATTTCCACACGGTTGTTCCTGTAACACACGTCAGGAAGTGGGGTGGGTGTGCAGGTATCTGCTCTACACTACAGTTCAACTCCCTGTTGTCTCTTGGTACACTTCCAGTCCATGGGAGTCTTCTAAATAGCCAGACACCAGGATGTGGGAACAAACCTCTTATTTATGGTAGCTCACACCCACCCCAGGCAGAAGATGTCACGTTAAAGACTTTTGTACAATTCCCAGCCTCGGGGGGGGGCGGAGGATAGGGGCATCCTCGTTTCTAATAAAAGAGTTTAAGAACATCATGTACAGGGTGGGCTTATGTGTAAAGGTTGAGTAACAAAACCTCAACCTGGCAGTTCAGCCACTGCTGTTCCCTGGAGAGGGGCTCCTCAGCTCCCAGCCTCTCCCATCAGCAGGGAGGAGGTGCTGGATCACAGTGGGAATAGTCCCAGTGAGCGTTCCCAGCTCACACATGGAGCAGGAATCGGTTTTGGTCTGTGTTACCCCTCAGCTTTGAAGCCAACACAGGAAGGAAACAGTGAGGAAGACTGTTGGAGCCAAGGAGTGGTGTGTTCATGGAGACTTGGGGTTGCAGGATCAGCACTGTCCTTCCCAGGAGATGTGGACCAAGAGGCAGCAGAATAATGGAGATACAGCAAAGAGGGCTTATGGAAGCATTTAGGGGAAAGAGCTCATTGTCCATGTCTTGCCTTTGGAAAGACTCGGTGTGTTGCCATCCAACACTGAAGAGGAAGGACAAGGTGAGGAAGAACTTCCCCAGCCACCACAACACACATCACTCCAGCAGTGCCGGCACCACGGGGCTTCTAGTGGCTTCATAGGGAAAGGTGGTTCCCAGAACTGGGACCAGGAAAGGGAAGTGCTGAAAGCCCCTGAGGCCCTGGGTGGGAGGGAAGGGGCAGCCACAGTCAGGTTTAGCACCGCTTCGTGCAGGAGATGTGGTGGAGACCCAGTTCCTCTTCATCAGTTCCAAGAACAGCACAGCTACAGCTGCAGGAAAGGATAAACCCATCCCCAGTGACCCTGCCTGCCCCAGCACAGACATCAAGAGCAGGAGAAGGCCCTGCCAAGGCATCCCCTCATTATTCCTGCCACTCATCGTGGCTGTGGAGGAAGGAGCCCGGCTCCTCCTTGTACCCCTGCTGCCCAACAGCAGGACTGGGTCAAGATCCCAGCAAGGGGCTCACTAAGGCTCACTCCAAGGAGGAGCACCTCAGTCAGAGAGATCTCGATGCCCTGCAGAGGATCCATAAGAGCAAGAATTGTCATTACTGATTCAAGCAAGTGCCATTCTGGATGCTGGCACTGGAGGGGCCTGCAGGGAGGAGGCAGAGTTGAATCAACTGAGCTTGAGACTCAGCAACAGACCTTGTGCTGCAGAAGCAGCATCTGGGGCAGCCTAACCGAGGAAGCCTGAGCCTGGTTTCCAGTAGGAACCACTCCACACACTACTCCCCTTTCAACCCTGTCAGGCAGAGAGATCCAAAGGGATCTCAGAAAGGAGGTGCTGCTCGTGCAAGTGAATCAGACCAGAGGCCAGGACTGGTTTCCAGAATTTGGCTTTACTTGGCAGTACAGAAATCATTTGGAGCCTTCAGGAGCCACGAGGAGCAGAGGCTCTGTCATACCAATACCGCAGCGCCGTTTGGTCCAGCCCAGAAGCCCCCAGGCTACAGAAAATACTCCCACATCTTGCCTGCTCTGTCATTTGTTCTCTCAATTTTATTAAGATTAAAACACAAAGGAGCCTTAGGCACAGCTGTGTCCCAACCGATGTAAACAGTTTTAGAAGCTTAAAGTGGAGGGTTAAGTTCTGTGCCCAGAACTAAGCCAACATTTGCTGCTACAATAGATGTGGGCTTTGTCCATAATACAACTTGCCACAGAGTTAGATCGATGGGAAAAAGACTTTTTTTAGGGATGCTGTCCACAATGATGGAGTGCTCAGTTTCTATTTTCCTTGATAATCAGGTTTGAGTGACAACTGTCACATCTACTAGCTCACCAGAAGCACATAATTGTGAAGGATGGCTACGAATGATTAAAAAGACATGGTAAGACACAGCTGTCAATGAGTTATCTCCGATCTGCACCAACGTCTACGTCTGCAAAGAGAAACCCACCAAACCCAAGGTTCAGTTTGCCTTTGCTTACCCAGGTTAGTCATTAAATCAGTGAGTAATTTGCCAGATTCTGGACAGCAGCCCTACTAGAACGAAATAATTAACACATCCAAAAAAGGGGAACATCATTACCAGTGCAGTACTCTTCAATCTCTCAGAGATGGGATTACAAAAGCAGGCCTTACAATATTGAGTTTCGTACAGTGTTCATTAAGTTCTTTATATATTCAGATGAGCCGGTTTGAACTTCTCCTCCTGCAGGGATCCTCATTACTGCTGCTCCTCCTCCCCGTAGATATCGTTCTTCTTGCGTTTCATCTCTTCAAAATCAAACTCTGACCCCATCATCCTCTTATAAATATCTTTGATGTCGTCACACGTCGTCTCAAAGTGAGTGGTGGCGTCGTAGGTGCGAGAGATGAAGATCTGGGAAGAGAGGCAGCAGTTTAGTGTGGAGTCTCCAACCTCCCCACCTCATAGAATCACAGAATGGTCTGGGTTGGAAAGGATCTTATCCAGTTCCAATCCCCCCTGCCACTGGCAGAGACGACTCACACTAGACCATGGTGCCCAAGGCCCCTGTGCAACCAGCACTCACTCACCTGGCTTTCAGTTCCCAAGTCAGTCGGTGCAAACAGGTCACTGATGCTGACAAACCTGGAAGGAGAAGAAAGAGCTTCAGAATGGTTGTAGAGCATCAGTATGGGTGCAAGGCTGCATGAATTCAAGGGCATGCCTATGCCCAGTGTGTAACTGAGGCGCAGAGGGAATTCAAACACCTCCTCACAGCCAAATGGCCTTCAGGTGCCCTCCACCTTCATGCCTTAAGCAAAGGGGTGAGAATGGAGAGCAGGGACTGCTCAGGGCCTTACTTCTGCTCAATGGGCTCCAAGAGGTCCAAGGCCGGCTTGATTTCCTTCTCTGGGTCCGCGGTTTCCACAGTGGTGCTGGCGATGGCGATGTACTTCCCCTGCGCCGCCACGTTGTGTGCAGAGGAGATCATGCAGACGTAGATATCTGGGGAACCCACCACGGGGACAGGTTGGGACATGCAAGGGAAGCCAACAGCTCAGGTCAGGGCTCCAACCCCCCTGCCACATACCGAAAGCCTCCTCCAGCCTGCACTCACACTTGTCTTCCTGCTCCCCCAACACTTTGAACCTCTGTGTCTCCTTGCCCTGCTGTCCTATGTGCTGTGGTCTGGGTACAGGCAGCCCTTAGATCTCCAGAACTTAGTTTCCCAGCTCCTGAAAGCCACCAGGATCGCCCCCATCAGCCAGACACCTCCTGTACAAGGGTGAGGAAGCATTTCTCTTCCTTGCCCCCCTCCCAGGACACCCCTGTGCTCCTCACCCACTTCAGGGGTTGGGGCACTTCCTTCTGTGGGTTCCTCAAACAACTTTCCAACCATAGAATCACAAGAGTGGTTTGTGTTAGAAAGGATCTTAAGATTATCCAGGTCCACCCCTGCCACGGGCAGGGACACCTTCCACCAGAGCAGCTTGCTCCAAGCCCCTGTGTCCAACCTGGCCTTGAACACTGCCAGGGATGGGGTAACCACAGTGCCCAAAGTAGTGGTAAATGCTCCCCAGCTTCTCACAGCTAAACTAAAGTATGGTGTAGCCTCACTGGGACCTACAGGATTTCTGGACATGGATGTGTTGCCATGGGAGCAATTGGAATGGGAATCCCATTGGATTCACACCTCACCAGACCACACGTTTGGTGCAAGGAGGTTTAACATCCACTCTGGCTCAACCCAAGCAGGACCAGACGTGCCCATGCCCCAGTGTTCCCTGCTCCCCACACACCTGATTTCCGGTTGACCTGGTTCTGTGGAATGATGATCTGGCACGAGTTGGCATCGTTCGTGTTCTTGATGGGGTGGCTCAGGATGCAGATTACCCGGATCACTTGGCCCACCTTCGTGACGCGGTCCGAGACGTAGCTGGGGTCACAGATGAGCTGTTTGCAGCGAGCAACCTGCAGGGAACACATGGACCTTGAGCCACCACCACGTAGAGGAGTGCATACAGAAGTGAGGAACCGGTGGGTTTGGGGAATACAGAGAGAGATTTGAGGTGGCTGATCCTGCATCAGGTTCTTATTTCATTGCCATCAGCATGCTTCAACTCGGGCAATCCAAATCTTAGCTCATTACACTTAATGTGATCAATCACATCTTCCCCTCATCAGGCAGTGCACCATTAAGTTCAAATCACTGCAGAGTTGCAGAATGAGTTGGGCTGAAGGGACCTTAAAGCTCCTCCAGTTCCAACCCCTGCCACAGGCAGGGACACCTTCCACTAGAGCAGGTTGCTGCAAGCCCCTGTGTCCAACCTGGCCTTGAACACTGCCAGGGATGGGGCAGCCACAGCTTCTCTGGGCAACCTAGGTAGTCCAGTACTATAACCTGCTGTTGTCAAGGCTGAACCCAACAGGAAGCAATTGACCAGTTCACATTAGAACTCACTTTTACAGTAACAGCTTTAATATTTGACCTATCTGAAGCCTCCAGGCCACCTGCACTTGGCCACATCACTCTATAGAGTGGATTATCACCTCCACAGCTAGCCAGGACATGTCATCCCTTACCCAAAAGGGACATACTACCCTACCAGCAAATGCTCCCCACTCTAACTGGGAGCGCATTTATAGCTCCCAAGCACTAGTTTTACATTGCCAGATCGAGGAGAAGATGCGGAGAGGCTGTGTGCCTGCTAATACTTAAATGTCAGGGGCAGAGCTAGTGCCATATCCACTTTAGACACAAGCAACAGCTCCTCTGCTGACTTGATTTATTCAGAGGACAACCTTTGCCAGGCCATGGAGACTTCATTCCAGTTCCTGGAGCAAGAATACTGTACTGTCCTCACCATGAAAATATCAACATATCTTAAGGGAGTTGGCACAGGGAAAACCAGCACTGGCCAAGGAAACGTGGTCCTGGAGCTCTGATAATGGGTTTTCTACTGCATTGGTTCAGATCAATGACCAGCAGCCTCAGTTCTGAGAGGGAAGATGTGGGGTGGGGAGTAAGGAAAGAACTGGAATGTTCCATACCTCCCCTTCAGACTTCACCCCGACCACTTTGCCATTCTCTATCACAATCTCTTCAATGGGCTTGTTCAGCATGTAGGTTCCTCCATAAATAGCACTTAGCCTGCAAGAGAAAACCCATGTCAGCATGTCCCACAGGGGTGGGATTGGGTTGTAACAGCCCTTCAGCCCCTTGTTTCTATTCCACTTGGATAAACCCCACATTAGACCTAAACCTCTTCAAAATATGATGCCTAAACATCTACGCAGCAGATGTTGTGTGCTGCTCTTTCTGCAGGCATCAGCTGCAATTACATCCAGCTAGAAGGACCCTGTGTGGTGCAACCCAGATGGTCCTACAGCCTAAGAGCTGCAGCCTGCACCACGTCAGCAAATCTGACTTCTTGAATAGACAAGACGCTGCAAACAGCAGCTCTGGGCAAACCCAGAATCACAGAATGCCACAGCTTCTCTGGGCACCCTGTGCCAGCACCTCAGCACCCTCACAGGGAAGAGCTTCTGCCTAAGAGCTCATCTCAGTCTCCCCTCTGGCAGCTTAAAGCCATTCCCCTTGGCTTGTCCCTACAGGCCCTTGTCCAAATCCCCTCTCCAGCTTTCCTGGAGCCCCTTTAGGCACTGGAGCTGCTCTAAGGTCTCCCCTTCAGGAGCCTTCTCTTCTCCAGGCTGACCCAGCCCAGCTCTCTCAGCCTGGCTCCAGAGCAGAGCTGCTCCAGCCCTCGCAGCATCTCCGTGGCCTCCTCCACACTTGCTCCAGCAGCTCCACGTCCCTCTTGTGCTGCTGCCCCAGAACCACCACCACTAACAGCAATCACAGTATAAACAAGCCCAGAAAGAAGCAATCATCTCACATGGAAGATTCACTTGTTAAGACAGAGAATCACAAATGACCACAGTATTTTTATGTGGCAGCATGCTCTGGAAGCTTGAGCACCAACTCCATACATTCCAGTTTGAGGAAATGCTGGGATCCAAACCCGAGTTCTCACCTTGCAAATCCCTGAGGCAGCTCTCCAAGGCCATACAGGGGATAAAGGTAGGGGCTTTTGCCATATCTAGCCAGGGACTCACTGTAGAGCTTAATCCTGTTGATTGTTTCTTGGCATGGTTGATCTAGATAGCTGGAGAGAGCAGTTATGTGATTCACAACATTTCACAAACCAAGACTTGCAGCAGAATACACTCCGAGAACAAAGTATCCACTTCCCATGAAGTTTCCTTCCCCACCCTCCAGCTGCTCCAGTAATTTTCCTGGCAGTTCCCTTTCAGAAGCACTCAGTGTCACAAGGGGGTTTATTCAGGAAGGAGCAGCTTCAGTAACCCCAGGAACCCACAAAGTTTAACCATCCCATCAGCAGAGAAGCCCATATGTTAAGATCAATGCGGCACCCAGGGACAGACACACTACCCCTGACTCCCAAAGCCCAGCACACAGCTGATTTGGGGGAGCAACTGAACCATAGAATGGTTTGTGTTGGAAGGGACCTTAAAGCTCCTCCAGCTCCAACCCCTGCCACAGGCAGGGACACCTTCCACTAGAGCAGCTTGCTCCAAGCCCCTGTGTCCAACCTGCCCTTGAACACTGCCAGGGATGGGGCAGCCACAGCTTCTCTGGGCACCCTGTGCCAGCGCCTCAGCACCCTCACAGGGAAGAGCTTCTGCCTAAGAGCTCATCTCAGTCTCCCCTCTGGCAGGTTAAAGCCATTCCCCTTGGCCTGTCCCTACAGCCCCTTATGAAGCCCACACTTACTCGTCAGTCCTGTAGAGTGCAAGGGCATGGCCTGTGAAGTCTATGACATCCTGCCCTAGGTCAAACTTCTTGTACACATCACGCATTGTGGTCTTCTTGGGATCGACGCCCTCCAAGGTTCGGGGATCGTTCTC